TGCCAAAGTAACAAGGGAAAAATGCAGAAGAGGCCCGAATGGCCTCTAATGCGTTTGCCGGAAGGGAGTGCAGGGCGGAGAGGGCCGAAACTTCCTGCAGATAGTTCTCCAACGTGACTTGGTGTCGGAGACGCATCCTCCACAGCAGGTCCGATATTGCTATCCCACTGTGGTAGGCGGTCACTGCACCACCACCACGCAAACCGCCAGGTGTAAAACGGGCTTCACGAGGTATATGCAAAGCAGCTAGAATTGCATTCCATCTGTTGCGAAAAGCGTGTGCAGACCCCGGGTAAATTTGTTCAGAAGGGAGAACTGTACTCAGGTGCTGCTCCAAAAACGCCACAAAACCGGAGTGCTTAATACTGCAATGTTGTATAATTCCACGGCCCCGAAATCCTGACTTCGGCTTGCGCACCTGAAGAAAACACCCCTTCAAGTCCACGTCCAACAGGTCTGAAGGCAGTACCAGGTCCGACCGAAGAGCTCGAAGTGGTTCGCCTGGCCGAGCGATGCCGAAGAAGGCCAAGCCGGCAACGGCGCACCACCTGAACCATCTCCAGTGCACTGCCACCGCCATGATCGCCTCGAAAACAGCTTTGGGGATTGGATGCCGGTGAACAGGGGGCCGAACTCTTTCCCAGCGGTTCAAGAGGTCCCAACACAGAGGCATGCCAGTTCGAAGCTCGATCCGGTTCTTCTGCAGGTAGGCCAAAAGCTGCCGGTACTTATAAAGTGGAAATCCCTGTTGAAAAGACCAGTCCCCAAACATTCGTACGAGGGCGCAAAATACCATGGCATCGGATCTAAGGGAGGCTAGGGCTGGGCCGGTGAAACGCTGCTTCATCCAAAGGTCAAACTCGTCCAGCACCTGCCGTTGCAACTTTTGAGTGGACCGGGAAACCAGAGCCACCTCCTCTAGGCTGAACAGTTGAGCTGTGGCAGTAGGCCCAGGATTCTTTGCTTCGCCCACTCGCCGATGACCCAGCTGCATGCCCCCAAAGTCCAAAACCAGTTTCTCAGCGACAGGCAAATACTTCTCAGCCAAGCTGTAGGCGAGGAGCTTGTTGAGACCTCTGGGATAGGGCTCCGCCACTTTCGTCCACGCACGGCGATGTTTCGCCGAATACCCTTTCAGGTGCACATGACTGTGGCCTCCTCTGCACTCCAGTTTCAAGCCCCTCAACGAAGTGTCTGTGTAGATGCGGGTACGCTTCCGCCAAGGGGTGCTAAAAACACAGTAATCTACCGTGAAAAAGGCGCCTTCGTCCGCTCTCATCACCTCAACCCAGCAAGGCTGCACCCACAAGAAAGACATGGCTGGATTCTCCCACCACTGCGGAACACCGCACTGGTGACAAAGGGCCGCCATGCCAGCAGAGAAAGCGGCATGCCCATTGCCCTCCTTAACCTTCCTCTGCATGCTTTCTCGCACATCGGGCAGCCCAGCTGGAAAGAGCTTCGAGCGCACTGGGGGGCGGACCGCCCTAGACATAGAGGAACAAACTGGTCCGCCTCCTACTCCAAGGAAAACTCCAGCAGCAACCGCTCCTCTCAGCACTTTTTGAAGACCTTCGTTCAGCAGGTCCTCCTCCGGGCTCCGAGCGTAGTCAAAGGTCAAAACCCAGCAACCACTGAGGGCTGCCAGTTCTCGTGCTACTCCCAAGCTCCCGGAGTACAAGTCCAGAAACCCAGCCGCTCGAAGGAGACCTTGGCGCGAGCAGGGGCTGTGCTTTGGGAAGACAAACTGCTTCTCAGAGAACACAGCGACTCTGGCAGCCTGCTCTGCGCTGAGGGTATATCCCAGCGGAGGCCGGCCTCGCACTCGCCTCAGGGTAGGGTCCTTGGGGACGGGAAGCCTCCGCTCCTCCGCCTCCTCTGTGGTGGCTTCAGCAGCTGGATCCTCAGTGGGGGCGGCTGCTTCGGGGGTCTGACCTCGTCCCCTCATCATGCTGTCTGCTAGCGCGGCTGCTGCGGGGGTCTGGCCAACCTCTTGCTCTTCCTCACACTGCCTTTTTCCTTTTCCCGCGACTCTCCTCGGCTCCTCAGTGGGCATAGCAGCTGCGGGGGTCTGGTCATCCTCGCTGCTCCTCTTCCTCTGGTTACACTTTGTCTTCTCAGTGCCCGAGCTGATGTAGCCAGGATGAAGTCGGAACTCTGGCTCCTCATTGGGGGTCTGCTCCTCATCATCCTCATGGCTGCTGCTTGTGCCTGCTTTACTGCACCTTCTGCCTCTTCTACTTGGGGCTCCTCTCCCTTCCCTTCCTTCTCTCGGCAAACCTTCATCATTGTTCTTCCCCTGACCTCCATTGTGACCTGCGCCTCGGGGGCAGACAAGTTTCTCTTTCCACCACCTGCGCCGCCGATCCCTACGAGCCTCCTCAGCTTCGACCACCCAACGCACGCCGGCTGCTTCAGCTGGCACCTCAGCGAGCTGAGTCGGGTGAAGACCTCGATCCTCCAAAAAATCATCTAGCAGGGTGAAGCACCCCTGAAATGCCTGGTCGAGCCAGGCAGGGGCCGCCTCGGTGGGTGCGCGAACAGGTACATCACGAGTGGGGTCATCGGCTGGGTTGTCCAGAATGGGGAAGTAGACAACATTTGCGTACACATCTGACCCCACCACGTGACAGAGACTTGCTCGCAACCTCTGATTCAAAGCGCGGCTTGTGCTGCGCCCCTTTAGCAGCGCCCCCAAGGCCACCTGGCTGTCGCTGGCGACCAAAACTCGGGATCTTGGCCGCGCCTCACCTGCTCTCTTCTCCGCCTCTAGCAAGGCCGCCATCTCATGGATATTGATGTGCTGCTTCCTCCGAATCCTCCGCCTCCAGCAATTTTCAAACTTCAGGCTGCGCGCTAGCTGCACCCAGACCGGATGCACCATCAAAGGTTCACCAGGCAGCTCCTCTTCACGGGGGAGACGGCCCAGCCTCCTCAAGCGCTCCTTCTCCGGCTGCAGCATTTGAGTCCAAGTGGGCTTTTGCAATGTGTGTCGATGCAGCTCCTCCGCCAGCCGAAGGGGGATGGGCGCTGCCACTTCGGCCTCCCAGGAATCTGAAGCGTCAGTGGCACTGATGCAGGGGGCCGGCTCCGCTCGCAGGTTGGTCACTACCAGGGGGGCCAAAACCACCAAAGACCATAGTTCAGCTTGAAGCTCAGGCCAAATGGGGACCACGCTACGCCGGGGAACATGGCTCGGAATGGCGAAGACCTCCTCCAGCAACGACATGAACCGCCTCCGGAACTGGAAAATCGACACCCAACTTCCGGCCAGGACTTCCAGGAGGGCGGGGGTACAAACCCCCAACCGAGCCAGCTCCGTAGTGATGCTGATCACCGCCAACACCCGACTCATGCTGGGCCGGATTGTCCCAGCAACGCCGTCCAGTTCTCCTCCCCAGAACTTTGCCTCCGTCTGCTCCTCGAAACTCTTCTTCATGTTCTGGCAAAGGCCCACCTCTGCATAGCGCTCTCCGATGGCTCTCAGGCGCCTTGCTCCATATGATTCTCCCGCCACTCGGTCAGCCCACGTGGCGCGGGCCACTCGCTCCAAGATGATGAGGTCGTCGATGACTATCCCGACCAAAGAGGGCCCCCGAGGTGGGCGGGATGTGAGCGTGATCAGCTCCTCAAAACTCACCAAACCCGTGGACAGGACGAGGCTCAGATGAGCTCCTTGACCGAACTCGACGGAATTGAGATCCCCCATTGCCATCGACTTCAAAGCGGGGCGATAAGGCCCATCTCCTCTGGCTTCTGGGCAAAAAGGCTTCAGGAGGTCTGCTTCCGCTTTGTCAAGGATCATGCTGAGGGCGTTTCGGACTGTCCGCTCTTCGCTGATCTGGTAATAGTAGTAGTAGTCCCGGAGGTCAGCACCATTGCAAACCAGCACCTCATCGCTCCTCAGGTACAGCTGCAGCAGGGGAGACACTGAACCCAGCGTCTTCGTCCATTTCTTCAGCCCCGGCTCCAAGATGTTGGGGCCTCGAGCATCGAGAATCAAGCGATCCCGCTGAGCGTCCTTCCCCACCGCGAACAAGCCGTTGAGGTAGCGTTGGCGACACTGGCGCACTGGCATAAGGGCTAACCGCCCAGTTTGGGCCAGTTTCTCAAGGAGTCTCAGGGCCTCCTCACGACGGCCCAACACCTTCGTCCTCACTGGATCCTCCTCCGCTGCTGCTTCTGCTGTTGCAACCTTCAAAGGGAACTCATAGTGGAACGCGGTGTCGGCATCCATGAAGGGCCGAGCCGAGGGTCAAAGCTGGGACGTCCTCCAAACTCTAGCCGGTCGGCCACGATGGGGCGGGCCGGACAGTCTCCTCCTCCAGGCACCACTCCGTAGGGAGAGAACTCAGCTTGGCAAGGGTCCTCTAACTCCTGCTTCCACGCCTTTGCTGCAGCTCTTCCATACCCTAGACGACCTTCTGTGCGGAGCTTTTCTTCGCGGCTCTTCAACAGTTGGGCGGCCTCCTCAAAACTTTCAACTTTGGGGGCCACTCGGCCCATCTCGGCAAAGGTCACAATGGGGTGAACAAGCAAACCTCTCAGCTGCTCCTCTATCCTGCGGGCAGCTCTTCGCTGCACGCTACCAGCAGGGGCCGTGTCTGGGCGGCCCAGATGAAGCCAGTTCAGGCAGATCACCGCTAAGTTCACTGCCTGACGAATTCCATGTTCAGTGCGGCTCCTCTGCTGCTGTGCATCCTGTCTGTAAAAGACCTCAGGATAAGGGATAGGCATGGGCCAAATAGCTGAGGTCCCCTCATCTAGAGGGGGTGGCGAACGTTGTGTCATGCTCCGGCAAAATTGGGAGAAGTTATTCGAATTCGAACGTTGCATCAACATCCGGGGGAGTGCGGCCCAAAGGCAGGCTGCCTCCACAGGCTTCGCTCTGGAGCCAGGTACTTCCCCGGGCTTTGCTCCTCCTCTCTCCTCACCTGGTTTGGGCCTTCTCTGATGGCCCTCTGTGCCCACCTTGGCGGGCTGGGGTTTGAGGTTAGGGTTTACTCCCCCGCCTCGCCCCCCCCGCCTTCTCGAGGCGGCTTGGCTCGGCTCTTCCACTCTGGCTTCTTGGCAGGGAGCTTTGGCTTGGTCTCTCTCCTCTGGGGGTCTGCAGCCTCTCCTCCTCGGCTTCCCAGCTTCTTCCGCTGCTCCAGATAGACATCGATGTCCCTGAGGCGATGTACCAACAGGCTGACCCATCTCGGATCGGCCAGCTTTGTGAAAGGCTGCTCGCTGCCGCTGGGAAGGGTGTGGTGTTGGAAGCTGGAAAACGGGGGGCTCTCCTCCATCAGCATTTCCGCCGCCAAAGACCAGTTCCCCCTGTCGATCGACAGCTGGTCGCCCGCCATCAATGCTAGCAAGGCGCGAGTATAGCCCTCCTCCGCTTGGCCTGCCTTCAGGCTGTCGGCGATCCCGGCGATGATCCACAAGAAGCGGATGGTGGACTGGTAGTTCTGCACCCGCGACCTTGTCTCCAGCCAACCTCGGCAGGACACCGGAATCTGAGGGACACCCGGAACTTGAGATCGCATGGCGAAGTCGGCCGCCATCTGGGTTTCTATGGCCTTGCTCAGAAAGACGGGCTTCTCGGAAACTGCCCTCCTCAGGGCGCTCAAGGCCTGAGCTTTCTTTCCTCCACCACTGCTGCTGTCGCCGTCTCCTTGCCCCGACCCACACCCGTCTAAGATGACTTCGAGGCTGTCACTCTTGGCCTTTTGTTTCGACAAGTGGGATGCAATCTCGGTGAGCTTGAGCAAGGCGGCAGCTACTGAGCCACCCGGGGTTGAGCCTTCTCCCTCCTCTTCCTCTTCGGCCTCGTGGGGGTCTGCCTCCTCGGACTCGGAAAGGGGGTCTCCTCCTGCGGCCTCTCCTCCACGCTGAGTGACGGTCTTGGGGGCTGGGAAGTCGCCCAGTCGGCTGCTCCTCTGCTGCTGCGATACGACCTTGGCCATCTCTGCTATGTGCTTCTCGGGGATACCTGCAATGCGAGCTGAGCGGAGTACAGCCGGGTCGAGACCGGGATATCTGATTTCCTCTCTCTTCTCCTGGATCTCCCCGGACCTCTCCCGGCTCCTCCTCACCTCTGCAGCTGCCGCAACCTGCCGATGGGCTCCCGACCCACCACCGTCTGGGCCGGGTGTCCGCCATGACACTCTTCTCTCCTCTCCAACCTGTGGCCGCGTCTTCTGAGCCGCCTCCAAATTGGTCTTGACGCTCTCGGCTAGATCTCGAACACATTCTTCGAGCCGTGCCAAACGGTCCTCAACAACGTCGCCTGGGGGGGCGTGCTCTGCCTCCTCTTCGAGACTCTCAGCAGTGAGGAAATGGAAACGCTCCCGGAAGCACAAGGGGTAATCTGGGTTCACCACACCGTCCCTGACCACAAAACCTGGCTCTAGCCGGGCTCGAGGCCCGACTTCCTCACTGGCTGCTGGTGGCATGGGGCCAAATGAGCCCCGCTGCCTGCACCGCTGCCCTCGCCTCCCACTCAGTAGGGAACCCGACAAAAATGGAATCCCCAACCGAGGAGCCCTCCTTGATCAGAGGGCGGATTGCACTGAACCGGCTGTCAACCACAACGGGGTCGTAGGTCCTTCCCTTGATGTCCCGGGCCACCACGTAGATCCTAGAACGGAGAGGGAGTCGGTCCCTGCCAGAGCTCCCTCGATGGCGACCCTGAAGTGATCGGCGGATGAAACCGCCGATCCTCTCAGCCAGCCTCAGCCGATCAACCCTGCTCCACACGCCACCCTCAGCTTCCTCTGCAGCCTCAGTGGCCGCACAGGCGGCTGGGACCTCTTCCCAGCTCCCACTCTCAGCAGCCTCTTGGCCCTCTAGGGCCTCCACTCGACCTTGCAGCTCCTCAACCCGTAGAGAGAGGCGAGAAACAGCTGCCTGAAGCTCTTGTAATTCTCGGTCCCTTCCAACCCCAGGCCTGCTCATGCACTCTTCCAAGGGCTCCCCGCCAGGTGCAAAGTAGCAAGACGCTGACGCAGAGAGGCCACCCAAAGCTGCTTGTAGAGGTAGATGAGGTCCAGCGAGATGCCCAGCACGATCCCCACCAGCACGCCAATGACGAGACCGATGCCAAAGATCCACCACTCACCTGGGCCCCACTCACTGTAAAGTCCCGCCGGTGGAAAGTGATCCACCACCAACGGGTCCCGCAGCTGAGCCAAAGCAAGGCTCCCTAGCAGCGATGCCACCGACCCGACCCCAGCTCCCGCGGCTACAGGGCGAAGCGCCGGTCTAAGCATGCACTTGAGAGCACAAACTGCGTTCGGTCTCAAGGTCAAGAGTGCATGCGTGGAACATTTTCTTGGACCTCGCCCGCATCAGGTAGGGGGGTCATGCCCAACTTGACCCAAACTTGGTTTCCTGGCCACACCGTGAGAACCATCCCTTCCTGCAAACAAGCCGGCTCTTGTCAACGTCTGCGACAAAAAGTGCTGGTGTCCTCGACCAGCTCGAGTGTGTCTTCCCAAATCCATGGTACGGATTTGGAGTGAAAAGAGCGCTGTGCCATATCTATTGGGGCAAGGGGACAGAAGTCCGCAAATTCTGCATTCTCAAACTGACAGGACCCCAAAATGGGTTGGTTTCGTTTGGGTTGTCTGCCTACCCTTCTACCGTGTGGTAGGTTGCCCATTTCGGTCCCCGATTCTTTTTCTTTCCTGCCAGCTTGGATTGATGTCCTTTCTCATGGGGGGTTCAAACACATTCTTTCCCTACAGAATGATAGCCTCGCTTAAAATTGGCCGAAAAGGTGACTGATGCTTGAAGTCATCAAAAGGGGGGAATTTAGGGAACCCTGCCACTAGCCAAGTGAGGAGGCCACCAAACCCAAAGCCGCCCCTCCGCAAAGCCTCCAGAAGACACCTTCTTGGTTCGAATAAAAAACCTTTCTTGGGAAAGGGGGGCCACCCCCTTATACAACTCCAGCTTTGGAGCTTGGATTACCTGGCTACCTGAAAGGCTAAGACCTCAACCAAACAAAGGACAAACAAAAACCGGTTCTTGAGAAGCTGTTCCACACAGGCCTTTCGCTCAGCTCGAACCCGAACAACCACTCTCCGCAAACGGGAGATCGGCCTCACCTCCTTTTTTCGAACTCGCAACGAAGGCTTCCAGGGTTGAAGTGTTTGTGATCCCCGGACAGCAAGCGACCACTGAGCCACTGTTGCCTGATACAAAAAGCACTGTGAGTCCTCTCCTTGCTTTCTGCATGCCACAAAAATCTGACAATGACAACACCGACCCCACAGTGGACGATCATTCTGCCATACGCTCGCCGTGGGCAAGCCAGGCAAGACTCCGTACAAGGCCTAGAACTCATCGCCATAGCCTGATGTGGCGGGGCTGGAGGATTTGTTCAAAGCTCCATGAGTAAACAGGGGACTTGGAACTTTTCAAACCAATCAACAGCAAGGAACATGCTGCCCAAATATCCTGCGAAGACACATGTGGGCAACCACAACACACACACACACACCAAACAAACAGAAACAACAACAAAAGCAAAACAACAACTCTCTTGAAACACATGCCCACACCGCGCAAACCATCCAAGCCAACGGTTCGCGCCTTCCTCTTCGCCCTCCCCTTCAGCCGTCTCAATGCCAACCTCCTCGTAGTCCTTACTTTTCCCAACAACAAATGCAGTAGCATAGACCCGCCCAATAGCCTCAAATGCCAGAAAGACAACCGTCTTGATTTCCAACGGAAAACCACGAAGAAAAACAAAAAAAGTTGATGCCTCTGGACAACTGGGATTCCTTCTCAAGGGCCGCCAAATCTTCGCGTGCCTCGGAGAACTCGCCCTCCTCCATGCCCTCCCCCACGTAGTGGTGGACGAAAGCACGCCTTCAAAGGTTTCAACTGGACATCCCATAAGAAACCAAAGATCCTAGATATTCAAATGACCCAGGCTGCAATGCCAGCGTTCAAAAGCAGATATCTATCAACACATAAAGGTTAGCATGGCACATCGCCGCACCTGAGTATATGATTATATATGTTGCAGTACACAATAAAAATGCAAACATCAGCAACTACTCCATAAAACTCTGATTTCGTAGCAAGAATCTTGCTGTACATCAGATCGAATTTGTGGTCAATGCGGGAGAAGACTTCCGCGATGGCCGTGCTGTTGGAAATCATACAGCACGCGCGCATGACTTTGGCCAAATCACCACCCGGCACCACCGTAGGAGGTTGATAGTTGATGCCGCACTTGAAGCCAGTGGGGCACCAGTCCACAAACTGGATGGTGCGCTTGGTCTTAATGGTGGCGACCGCTGCATTCACGTCTTTTGGTACAACGTCTCCACGGTACCTGACGCATGACCGTCTAACGTTTGCACCACAGCGGGGAATGCGTAGTCAAACAAACAAGTTTCACCAAGCAAGTTAATCTGCGAACTTGCTCGCATTCGGCGCTCGAACGACACACACACACACAGACAAAGACACAGACACAGACACAGACAGAAAAACACACACACACAGACAGAAAAACACACACACACACACACACACACACACACACACACACACACACACACACACACACACACACACACACACGCACACACGCACATGCACATTCACATGCACGTGCCCCACATGCACATGCAAATGCACATGCTGCGACTACTGCATCCAGCTTCCAATTTTCACAAGATAGAATCGCACTAGCAAACAAAAACACAACTACACATAGCGTGGCTCTGTAAAACAAATGTGTGTGATGACTGGCCGAGACGCATCATGCAGCAAGCCATGTACTTGCCATGGCGGGGATCGCACTTCACCTCAAGGTTTTAATCAAGTTTGGTAACAAATGGCAATCTTTTTCGGATTTTATCCTCCTTGGCCATACAACCTCAAACGCAAAAGCAGGTGAGCAGCGCCGGAAGCCCATTGATGTGTGTTTTTTTGTTTACCAACATGGTTGTAAAAACTTCATATGCTTCACCACAACCCCAATCAAACCAAGCTAAAACCGCCACAAAGGGGTTGTGGGCGCTGCTCAGGTATTGGACAACTGGGTGGCCATCATCGAGGCAGGCTCAAACACGGACATGGTGATCTCCGCCACGGAGAGCTGCTCATGGTATGCCTTCTCTGCAGAGATCACGGGAGCGAAGGAGGTGAGCATGAAGTGGATTCGCGGGTAAGGAACCTTGGTCACGGTTCAATGTTCTAATTTAACCTATGAGTTCGTATAACATGTTCTACAATCGTCACTTAGGGAAGAGCAAATATGTAGATGTTGACACACATTGGCCAAGCAACAAGGTTTGTTTGGAACTCCGTGATGTCCACATTCAAAGCCCCGTCGAATCTCAGGCTCGCCGTCAATGAGCTGATGATCTGAGCGATAAGCCTGTTCAGATTCGTGTAGGTCGGGCGCTCAATGTCCAAGTTCCTCCGACAAATGTCGTACAACGCCTCATTGTCCTGGCTGCTGCAGATGGCTCCAAACACATCCATGCACGGCACAGGATCGTGGCATTGTGATTTCTGGGGTGAATACTGGGCTCAAGAGCGGGGCAAGACCCATACATGCTAGCAGCGCCTATGGCAAGAGTACGTTTCCAAGCAAGAACCACCACTGTCAAAAACAGCTATCAGTCAAGTTCAAGTTCATAAATTAAATGGATTATGCCCATTCGGATCTTTGCTGCCCAAGCACATACATGATTGTCACATCCGTGTGCTCAAGCAGAGAATGGACGCATAGCACGGTGTTGTATGGTTCCACCACTGCAGTCGCCACCTGTGGACAAGACCAAACTGTGAAGGAGATCTTGCTCTTTTTGCCGTAGTCCACGGACAAGCGCTCCAACATCAAGCAGCCCAGGCCGGATCCTGTGCCACCGCCGACGGCATTGTACACGCAAAAGCCCTGTAATCCGGTGCAGTTGTCGGCCAACTTGCGGATTCCTGAGTTGCGCATGTTGGCAAGTTTTGCAAACACCCTCGCAACAACACCAGCTGTCAATTCGCAAGCCTTGCCAATGCAGGCTGGCATCGATCCAAGACCAGGTCGACAATCTCCTTGCCGATGGTGTAGTGCCCGCGTGCCTCAACGTGACCATGACTCTTACTACAAAGACCAATTTTGCCATTTGGAGGGCTGCGACATACCGCCACAAGTGGCTTCAAAACAAGAGTGGAAGCTAACTTTAGCTTTGGCGCAAAGTTGTTTGCGGCGTCTTCTTTGCCAGAAATGAGCTGCTCTGGGTGGAATAGCTGACGGTAGGTGCCCGTGCGCACTTCATCAACGACGGTCGGCTCCAAGTCCACCATCACACAACGAGGCACGTGCTTGCCCGCTCCAGTCTCACTAAAGAATGTGTTGAATGCCTGAAAGCGGGGCTTCACAAACATCACCAACTTCGCGCGCAAGCTCATATTGTTGCAACTGTTGCTTCTGCTTCATCGGTGTCAAGCCTTAAACCTTTCCATTCTACATGTGAACAGCTTCCGAGGAACCGGCGCCGTTGCTTGAGTTTGTCCCCTCGCATCTAACTGTGGGTTTTTGCCGAGCACCAGTAAAGCCAGCGAAGCCGGGGGGGGAAGTTTCAAAACTAGGAACCACTACGAATCTTTCGCCAGGCTCGAAGCAGCGAGCGCTGGCGAAAATAAGGCCTGAACAGCAAGCCTGTTCTCGCGTTGCGACAAGCGGCTGACAAGCGCTTGCCGGGTGAGATCCCGACTGCAAAAGAGCCGCCTGAAGCGGCCTGGCTTGTTGAGCACGCTCTGGAAGGCTTCACATCAAAAGACCACGCGCTTTTGAGGGCAGAGCCCGAAATCAACGCGAGTTCATTTTCGGTTGAGATTCAGAGCGCGCAGTGGTGCCAATGGTCCGTCTCCGAGACGACCCCAAACCCGCTCCAAGCCCGGCTTCCGTCAGGCGTCGCGACCAAGGTGGGTTGCACACCTCCACCTGGGGTGGTGCCGAGTTGAAGCACGGAGCCACGTTTCTTCGGCCGTTTGGGTTGTCCAGCGCAAGCAGTTCTACGAGACAATAAAGCTCAAGACATGGAAAGGGTTGACCTGGGAAGCCTCTGCCTAGAGCGCGCAAGCTTTTCCAATTTCTGGAAGCACTGCAAGCGTGCGTGCGCACAAGCGACAGAGAAGGAAATACACGCAGCGACACAGCGGTTTGCCACACTGACGCAAATCTTGCTTCTAAACCTGCGACCTAGCGCGAACCTAGTGCTGACGTGTGACGTTCAAATTAGCTGGTTGGAACGAACGCCATGCTCAAATGAGCTTGAGCCCCCCATAGTCTCAGCGCAAGCACCTAACCCAGCTGTTTTGCCAATGGGGCATTTCAACCCCATTGGCTAATGCAACGCTGACACGCTCGTCCTCAGCCAGCTGCTTCCAACCATAGCGCAATCACAGGGTGAGATCTTGCGGCTGCAGGAATTTCTGAACCCCAGGCAGAGAGCGCAGAACCTCCGCTGGACGGAACATTTGCAGCCCAAATTTTACCGGCTTGTGATCGCCGAACACTTGCTCCACGAAACCCGTGCCTCTCACGCGCATAGGGGCGTTGCACACACAGTAGTCGATGCACCGCCGGCCCTGCCACCTCGTTGGGCTGAGAGCGCCGGTTGACGGGTTCTTGACCGCGGCAACCGTGGCGCCTTGACCTTCCGTGGCGTGCAACAGGAAGTTTTCGCTGGGCAACGAGTTCCAATCACCGATGCACGCCCACGGCTGAAGCGGGTTCAAGGAGCAAACGAACTCAGCGAGGCGACTTTCGAAGCCGGCGTCGACGGATTTCCACGGAAGGAAATGCAGATTGACCAGCACCATGTCGTCGAGTCTGACCGCCGCGAACTGGCCGCCGACGCAGCTGGCAGAATGCATCCACCGCACACGAAGGTTTTTGCGCGCGAAGGACCAGTCCGAGTTGCCACTGCTCCACTTCAGGGTTCCACCTTGAAGGCTCAGACCACACCTGGAAGCCCTGGCGCTGAGCCTGTGTTTCGAGCTGGCTGAGCTGGCGCTGACCCATGCGGGCCTCCTGAAGCAAACAGACATCCACTGAATGCAAGATCTGCAAGGTCTTCCAGCCAGACTCCCTGCCGCCGGCATTGATTGTCACTAGCCGTAATCCACCCGAACCCATCGGCCGTCAGGTCCCTCTGCCACCTCGTCGCCTGCAACGGCACCAGCCCTCGCGTTGGGCCCGGCCGCGCCTTTCTGGCTCGAGCCTGAGCGTGACGGAGTTCCTCCTGGGTGATTTTCCACACACTGCAGAAGCGCTTCAGGGTTGCCGGGTCTTTCTTCCACACGAGAGCCCACCATCGAGCTTTGATGGAGAGGTTCCGGGTGCGGGCAGCCTGGCCTCCACATTTCCTGTCAGCACGGCGCATGCTCTCGAAGATGCTCGTGCATCTGGTGCAAGTAAGGAGGGAAGCCTTCTCACCGACCCTTGCATTCACGACATGCAGTTTGTGCCCAGACTTGGTCTCCAGCTGATTCTTAGCTTTACTCAAGTTAGCATCACGCTGTTTGGTGAAATGGTGCTTGTTGACACCAAGCTTGGCACTAGTCAACCCCTTTTTGCTGAGCAGCGCCCGGTTTTGGCGCATGTTGAGCTTGCTGCACTTGGCCAGGTGCCAAGTCGCCCACCTGCGGAGTAGCCACGAGGCGAGCCCGGGGAGTCCAAGTTTGCATTTGGCGCACGTCCAGGCACGTTGGTTCCAGGGCAGGTCGCCAGGCTCCACCAAGTCAGGCCGGGGACGGATGGCGTTGAGCTGGGTCCTGTCAACCCCTGGGTGCGCCTGCGCCAAGTGATTGGACCTTTTCTTGGCCACACCCTTGCACCAACTGTCCCAGGAAGGCAAGCATGAGCGCAACTCCGCTCATTCCACACATGTCATTCAGCTCTTGGCCCGCATGGGTAAGCCCACGCTCGCACTCCAGGTGTCTGCCACTCTTTTCCACGCCCCTGTGGGGCGCATCCATGGTTCGGTTGCTGGCACTGACTGCGTGCGTATGCCCCGTGCATACGATGCAAAACATCAGCACAAGCAACAACTGCCATGCACACACGTGTGACGTCCTGGATCTACTCTTCGCCGTCCTGCATGAGGACGCCCGCACCGGCCGCGAGGAGGCGGCAGATCCACCAGCGCAAGCTCATATTGTTGCAACTGTTGCTTCTGCTTCATCGGTGTCAAGCCTTGAACCTTTCCATTGTACATGTGAACAGCTTCCGAGGAGCCGGCGCCGTTGCTTGAGTTTGTCCCCTCGCATCTAACTGTGGGTTTTGCCGAGCACCAGTAAAGCCAGCGAAGCCGGGGGGCGGAAGTTTCAAAACTAGGAACCACTATGGTTTCTCCTGTCACGGTTGTCCGCTTTTGCTTTTGCGCAACTGCGAATCTTTCGCCAGGCTCAAAGCAGCGAGCGCTGGCGAAAATAAGGCCTGAACAGCAAGCCTGTTCTCGCGTTGCGACAAGCGGCTGACAAGCGCTTGCCGGGCGAGATCCCGACTGCAAAAGAGCCGCCTGAAGCGGCCTGGCCTGTTGAACACGCTCTGGAAGGCTAACTATTAGCGTAGCAGTTCTTCGATCTAGACAATCATGGTTTCTTGTGTAGAAAACTGGTTGTGTAGCTAGCTATCTGCTGTCTAGCTGCTTATCTGCTGACACGCTGTTTGTCCAGCTACCTATCCTTGAAGCTACCCGCTTGACAAACCTTGTTCTTGCAGCAACCTGTCTTCTTGTCATTTCGGCATCTGGCTCTCGACCTATGCAGCTAGATAGTTTGACTACCTATGCGACGCTATCCACCTGCTGAGCAGCCATCTGTCTAGAAAGCCATCTGCTTGGCTGTCGACTTGTTGGTATCAATCCGTCTGGCAACCATTTCGCTCGCGAACATGTTTGGCTGTCTGAGTACTCGCCGCTGTCTAGCTCTCCATCTGTCTAATAAGTCTGCCTGACTATAGCTATCTTTAACGCTCTAGCCATCGGCTGAAAAGCGTTTCAGGGACGTTGAGAAACAGAGCGCGCGCATGCCCATGGTCCGTCTCCGAGACAGCCCCAAACCCACTCTGAGCCGGTCTTCCGTCAGGCGTCTCAACCAAGGTGGTTCGCACGGAGCCACTTTTTTGGCCCGCTTATATTCCCTGGTTCTCGCGCAACGGAGCTCCAGACAGTATGTACTTCCTTCGTACTTCAACGGCCTGGCGGCATAAAAAGGGTTTATCGGAGAAGCCTTTGCCTGGAGCGCGCAGGCTTGTCCAACTCCAGACGAACTGCAAGCGCGCATCACAGAAGGAAGCTTCACGCGACCACACAGCGTCGGCGTCTGAAAAAAACTAGCGCGAGCCAAGCGCTGACACGGAGATCAGCTGGTTGGATGCGAAGGCCTGTTTTTTTGATCAAGCTTGAGCCACACCCCGTAATCTCGTGTTGAATTGCTGCGACACTTCCTGATGCCTGTCGCTGTGCATTTGCCAAATGTCTATGAAACAACAGCCCGCGTGGACTAAGCGCAGCTGTGGCTGCGAAACGATTGCCGACTGCACCGAGAGGAAATCATTGAGCTGGCGAGGGCGCTAGAGTGGCCTCTGGTGGAACTCTAAACTGTGAAATTGCGTCAAGCACCGAAATAAGCACCGAACATCGCAACATCCAATCTCTTCGATTGTATAAGCCGTGAGGTGATATGACATTGAAACTGACAGATGTTCTACGCATGATAGACATGCGTCAGTGAACTCCACAGAGCGAAAATCGACTTTCTTGTGTTGCCTAGTGACATGCAAATTGTGTAACCAATGGGAATTCTGCACATGGCAACTTGCGTGTGCCCCATGCCACTCACTTTAGGTTTGGTGACAGTGCACATTGGCCGGTGCTCAAGACATGGTTGGAAAGGTTGATATAGGGTCTCACCGTGATACATTTTCAACTGAGCAAGTTGTTCAGCAACCAGCTTCGCCGCTCATGTATCAGTGAACACCCAACACAAAAACTACCAATATCAGGCTTGGTGCGTCATCCCCCCCGCCAATCGTCTTGTCCGAGGGCATCTGACCATCAGGCTGGATGCCATGCTCCAAGCAAAAGAGCTCCCAGCAGGCGTTGCCAATTTGCACGCCGCCCTGGGCAATGCTGAGTGTAAAGTTGCATAGTTTAATCTGCCACTGCAACAAGTTGAGCTTTCGTCTGGCTAGCGTCATTGACACATCAAGAATCATGAAAGGTAAAGGTCGAACCAAATAGCAGCCCAGCAATTTTCAATTCTTAGCGGAAACCACACAAGAACTTTGAGATGCCCACAGGAAAATGTAAAGTTGCGCGGGCTGGTGGCAAACTACACTAAAGAACAACTACCATGCACATGCACCGCAAGGGGCATCAACTTGAAACGTGGCAATCTACGGATACTAAACTCTTTACCAAAGCGCCTGGCCAATGTGAATGCAGATCGCCTCGCGCATGGCTAGATGATTTGAAAGCCGAAGACAAACGGAAAAGTGCCGGAAACACGCCGCGTGATGTGGCCGCCTCGAGCACAAATCCTGGAGCCAAAGCAGCGGAACAATGAAACGCCCATGACAAAGACCAGCAATCTGCGGGTCCTGTGCAAGCTCTATACCAGGGTTGGGGCGACCTGATCAAACATGTTGAAATCAGCGCTGCTGCAACAGCTACTTCCGGGAACCATATAAACGCTTACCAATTTTAAAATAGCAGCTAACCAAACATTCCAGCGAAACTCCTTGAAGGACACCCACGGTTGAAGGTACCTTTTTGGATGTGCTGTTCAGGGGAAACAGGGAGCACCACCCACTTTGGGGTCGTACATTCACATGTGCCAAAGTCACCCTCACTTGCCTCCAAGAACAACTTCAAACCAAACACTGGCAGAAAGCTTCCTTGGCACCACAGCCTCCACAAACAAGTCCAGAAACGCCGGGTCTCCAAACTGCCCCCTTTCTTTGGTGATACTGGACCTTCCCTTTGGGAGGCCACAGGGAAGCCGCGTCCAAAGGTTCAAAACCCCAGCCCGTTTTGCACCCAGGATCCGCGCCCGCGCCGCGTTGGCCGATGTGGGGACCTTTGGCGCGAAGCTGGCAAGGTGAACTTTGGGGTTTTCCTAGGGAACCCACTTCTCCTGGGCCGACCGCAGCAACCTCAAACAAATAGCAAGTTTCAAACCCAGTCAGGTTTGCGTCACGCTTGCTTGAGGGTATGTTTGGTGACGGATTTGAGGGGAACTGCCCTTTTGATCTCCGCTTCATGCAAATGCAGGGACCCACTTGAAGATGGCGTTACAGGTTGGCCCTTTGTTTCACAGAAACAAAAACGGGCAACTCTGTATTGAAGAACGCAAGCAAGATCAGCCTGATTCAGTTCGGGCTTGGCTTTTGCAGACCTTCCAGTTGACAAGGGTCCACTTCATCCGTTTAATTCAAATCTGGGTCCCCTTCCTGAGCAAAACATCTAAACGTTTGCCGGTTCGACTGGCCTTGTTATTTGACCATCAAAGTCAGAGAAGGTTGACCCTTGAAAGAGCGTCCCTCTGCTCTCCGTAACAAACAATCGCCGGAAAACATCACAAAAGAAAATGAGCTGGCAGTGCAAAAGCTGTTGGCACCATTCCCTTTGTTGGGGGAAGGGAATGTTGGAATGACTAAAACAACATGGCGAAATTGTGCAAGCTACTTTGCCCAGAATCTAGAGATGACACTCTAGTCCGGGCCAGGACCTTTCGATTTGGGGATGAGACACATTCGAGCTAGCCCAAAGCACAGCCCGCCCGTTGGGGCCACTTCAAATGACTGACGAATTGCCCCCGCCGCCTCATGTCCTCGTTTTGCCGGTCGCAGTACTAGGGTTCAAGTTTTTTTGAACCCAAGGCAAGAAACACAAGACCGCCGAGCCACTGTTGGCTGGTTGCTGTGGTAGCAAAAGCATGTCATCTTCCGGCTGTTTGAGAATATCACTTGACAGCATTGACCACAGTGGCGCTCCCGCCTTTACCTCGCCGCTGGCGAGGAAGGCAGGAGGCACAGTGCCGGCCTAGAACTCATCACCGTAGCCTGACGCGAACTGGACAAAAGAAGGATGACAGCTTGGTTTTCTGCAGGGACTTTCCGAGAAAGGAGCCTTTGCCATGGAGGTCGCAAACCCTCGGTGAGATCGCTATGACTTGATCATTTGTCCACAAGCCTGCAAGGCTTCATGTTGGAGGTTCCTTGCCATTGTAAATTTGTAGATGTATATAATCAGCCATAACAGTAACACACAACCACACAACCGCACACCCGCACAACCACACAGGCGCGCACAGGCGCGCCCCAAATCGCCCAAGCGCACGGCTCCCGCCTTCCTCTTCGCCCTCCCCTTCAGCAGTCTCGATGCCCACCTCCTCGTAGTCCTTACTCGTCTTTTGGCAAGGCCATAATCAATGCACTGGCATAGACCCCCACACCAAAAAGCCAGGAAAACTCAGAACCGTTTTGATCCCAAAGGAAAGCCCGCCAAGCAAAAAAGAAAAGTCGGTGCCACTGGCAACTGGGATTCCTTCTCCAGGGCCGCCAAATCTTCCCGAGCCTCGGAGAACTCGCCCTCCTCCATGCCCTCCCCCACGTAGTGGTGGACAAACGCACGCCTTGGCGAGCAAGTGACAAACAGCGGCTGAAAAGAAAAAACTCAGCCTTACTCCCCCTTAGCTCAAATAAGGATCTGCTATGAGATGATAAAAGCATCTCTTTAAAGGGAACCCCAAGTTACAAGCATACTCTGAAAAATAAGCTGCTCAAGAACATAAAATGTCAGCTGCAGCGCTAAGCGCGTCCTGTCGAAGTATGGGGACTAGGCGGGTGCCGCTCTAGAGTATGCTCTCTGACCCCCTGTTGAAAAAAAATGGATGACACCAAACCGGATCCCCCTAAAAGTGTGGAAATGAGCAAGGGGCTCCAACACATAACCCGTCAAATCACAAGTGACCCTCTTTGAAAGGCTCCATTGAATGGGGGCGCCTGGACCAAGGTCAACATTGGTCTGTGCAAGATTCAGGCGCCTTCGTTACAAGCAGCAAGCAAAAGTCTCATCTGCGATGAATCGCTTGCCAATACAACTCACTTTCTGAGAGTATCAGCCAAACAAGTCCAAACTTTGTTCTTGCCACTAACATGCCCTTGCCACCAAGTATAAAGTCCTGGGACATAGCACGATGCGCAAAGAGGGACGACTGAGAACAAAGAGAAATGTAGCAGGAACTACTCGGCGTGAACTCGTCTAAATGTATGGCAAGGGGCTTGCTGTACATCAGATCGAACTTGTGGTCAATGCGGGAGAAGACTTCCGCGATGGCCGTGCTGTTGGAAATCATACAGCACGCGCGCATGACCTTGGCCAAATCACCACCCGGCACCACCGTAGGAGGTTGATAGTTGATGCCGCACTTGAAGCCAGTGGGGCACCAGTCCACAAACTGGATGGTGCGCTTGGTCTTGATGGTGGCGACCGCTGCATTCACGTCTTTTGGTACAACATCCCCGCGGTACCTGATGCATGGTAGTAGCAAGCAACTTCCATGTTGGTCTCTGAAAATGCACGCCATCAGTGCGCACACACACGCGCAAAGAAACTCACACATGTCACGCACACAATCATACTGCTACGAATGCATGCAGCCGGCAATGCTGACAAAAGGCAAGCGCGAAAGGAACAACAATGCAACTACACGCGGCATGGCCCTATACGAAAACACCAACTCCTTGATGACTGGCCGAGACACATCATGCAGCAAGCCATGTACTTGCCGTGGCGAGGATCGCACTTGACCTCTTTGTCTCTTTGTCCCCGGCTACAAAAACACCAATCCTCTGAAACTCCAAGAAACCCGAAGCCAGCGTTTGGGAATCAACAAACAAAAAGAAGGCGTTGGAAAGCTGAGTTTGGAAAGCTGAGTGGCCATCATCGAGGCAGGCTCAAACACGGACATGGTGATCTCCGCCACGGAGAGCTGCTCATGGTATGCCTTCTCTGCAGAGATCACGGGAGCGAAGGAGGTGAGCATGAAGTGGATTCGCGGGTAAGGAACCTTGGTCACGGTTCAATGTTCTAATTTAACCTATGAGTTCGTATAACATGTTCTACAATCGTCACTTAGGGAAGAGCAAATATGTAGATGTTGACACACATTGGCCAAGCAACAAGGTTTGTTTGGAACTCCGTGATGTCCACATTCAAAGCCCCGTCGAATCTCAGGCTCGCCGTCAATGAGCTGATGATCTGAGCGATAAGCCTGTTCAGATTCGTGTACGTCGGGCGCTCAATATCCAAGTTCCTCCGACAAATGTCGTACAACGCCTCATTGTCCTTGCTGGCTCAAACGGCGTCACATGAGCCACAAACCGAAACACATCTGTGCGGAAACCTGAGCACATCTGCTCGCAAACGAAACACAAACGCTACGAATCCCCGTTCCATGACCCTGCCGAGCAAGCGCTCCATAGGTATATGTGGCGTATGTGTATGTGTATGTGAAGCTGTGTGTATGTGTATGTCGAACTATGTGCATATGCATTTGTTTGCGCAATTGCAATTGTAACTGCAATTGCAATGTGTATTTGTGTTGTGTTTGCATCTGCGTGTGTGATGTTGGGAGCACGCTGTCGTGCTTGCCTTTCCGTTTGCGCCGATTCTGTCTGTGTGTGTGTGTATGTGTGCAATGTGTGTGTGGGTGGTTGCGTTTGCAAGTGGACGTGTGAGTTTGTGCATGTGATTTTGCTTGTGACTGACCTTCTTCCCCAACAGCTGAAAGCTATTGGGTCTCTGCGCAGATAAGCCCGGAGACACTCCAGCAGCTCCGAGCTCAGGTTGCGGCGCATACATGTACATGCACAACAACAAACACACACACACACACAACGCAAACACGGCGGTTCGCTCCATTGAACATTCTCGAACAATTGATTTAAAATGCGTATTTGAAACCATGTCTTCTTGCTTGTTTTGTTCGAAAGGCTCTGGGCAATCTAACAAGTTAAAGTTCATGAATGGATTATGCCCATTCAGATCTTTGCTGCCCAAGCACATACATGATTGTCACATCCGTGTGCTCAAGCAGAGAATGGACGCATAGCACGGTGTTGTATGGTTCCACCACTGCAGTCGCCACCTGTGGACAAGACCAAACTGTGAAGGAGATCTTGCTCTTTTTGCCGTAGTCCACGGACAAGCGCTCCAACATCAAGCAGCCCAGGCCGGATCCTGTGCCACCGCCGACGGCATTGTACACGCAAAAGCCCTGTAATCCGGTGCAGTTGTCGGCCAACTTGCGGATTCCTGAGTTGCGCATGTTGGCAAGTTTTGCAAACACCCTCGCAACAACACCAGCTGTCAATTCGCAAGCCTTGCCAATGCAGGCTGGCATCGATCCAAGACCAGGTCGACAATCTCCTTGCCGATGGTGTAGTGCCCGCGTGCCTCAACGTGACCATGACTCTTACTACAAACACCAATTGTGCGATTTGGTGACTTCAAAACAAAAGTGGAAGCTAACTTTAGCTTTGGCGCAAAGTTGTTTGCGGCGTCTTCTTTGCCAGAAATGAGCTGCTCTGGGTGGAATAGCTGACGGTAGGTGCCCGTGCGCACTTCATCAACGACGGTCGGCTCCAAGTCCACCATCACACAACGGGGCACGTGCTTGCCCGCTCCAGTCTCACTGAAGAATGTGTTGAATGCCTGAAAGCGGGGCTTCACAAACATCACCAACTTCGCGCGCAAGCTCATATTGTTGCAACTGTTGCTTCTGCTTCATCGGTGTCAAGCCTTAAACCTTTCCATTCTACATGTGAACAGCTTCCGAGGAACCGGCGCCGTTGCTTGAGTTTGTCCCCTCGCATCTAACTGTGGGTTTTTGCCGAGCACCAGTAAAGCCAGCGAAGCCGGGGGGGGAAGTTTCAAAACTAGGAACCACTACGAATCTTTCGCCAGGCTCGAAGCAGCGAGCGCTGGCGAAAATAAGGCCTGAACAGCAAGCCTGTTCTCGCGTTGCGACAAGCGGCTGACAAGCGCTTGCCGGGTGAGATCCCGACTGCAAAAGAGCCGCCTGAAGCGGCCTGGCTTGTTGAGCACGCTCTGGAAGGCTTCACATCAAAAGACCACGCGCTTTTGAGGGCAGAGCCCGAAATCAACGCGAGTTCATTTTCGGTTGAGATTCAGAGCGCGCAGTGGTGCCAATGGTCCGTCTCCGAGACGACCCCAAACCCGCTCCAAGCCCGGCTTCCGTCAGGCGTCGCGACCAAGGTGGGTTGCACACCTCCACCTGGGGTGGTGCCGAGTTGAAGCACGGAGCCACGTTTCTTCGGCCGTTTGGGTTGTCCAGCGCAAGCAGTTCTACGAGACAATAAAGCTCAAGACATGGAAAGGGTTGACCTGGGAAGCCTCTGCCTAGAGCGCGCAAGCTTTTCCAATTTCTGGAAGCACTGCAAGCGTGCGTGCGCACAAGCGACAGAGAAGGAAATACACGCAGCGACACAGCGGTTTGCCACACTGACGAAAATCTTGCTTCTAAACCTGCGACCTAGCGCGAACCTAGTGCTGACGTGTGACGTTCAAATTAGCTGGTTGGAACGAACGCCATGCTCAAATGAGCTTGAGCCCCCCATAGTCTCAGCGCAAGCACCTAACCCAGCTGTTTTGCCAATGGGGCATTTCAACCCCATTGGCTAATGCAACGCTGACACGCTCGTCCTCAGCCAGCTGCTTCCAACCATAGCGCAATCACAGGGTGCCGTTTTGCAATCGACCCGGAAGCAAGGTGCTGACACTGCACGCATGCCAAGGGCATCAAGTTGTGTAACTTGGGGCGCTTCTTGCTTGGCGGGTTGTTCATTGCTGCGACACTTCCTGATGCCTGTCGCTGTGCATTTGCCAAATGTCTATGGCACAACAGCCCGCGTGGACCTGGCGCAGATGTGGGTGCGAAACGACTGCCGACTGCACCGAGCTGGAAATCATTGAGCTGGCGAAGGCACTGGAGTGGTCTCTGGTCAAACTCTATACAGTGAAGTTGCTTGAAGCACCGAAGTGCGCAACAGCAATTCTCTCTTTGATTTGTATAAGTCGTGAAGTGATATGACATTGATACTAACAGGTGGTCTACAGTACGCATGATGGACGTGCGTCGAACACAACAGATCCCAGTCAACGTTCTTGTGTCGTTCACAGTGAGATCTTCTCAACCAAATTGACCAAATTGTTCAGGAGCCAGCTTCACCGCGCACGTATCAGTGAAAACCAACACAAAACTACCAATATCAGGCTTGGTGCGTCATCCCCCCCGCCAATTGTCTTGTCTGAGGGCATCTGACCATCAGGCTGGATGCCATGCTCCAAGCAGAAAAGCTCCCAGCAGGCGTTGCCAATTTGCACGCCGCCCTGAGCTATGCTGAGTGTGAAGTTGCATAGTTTAAACAGGGCCGTGTAAAAAGGTTGTTTGTAGGCATTTCCAAGAAAAATATTAAGGTCGAAGCAACAAGCAACTCAGCACTACCCAGCCCCTTGCAGCTGCCTGTAGAAGCTCACAGATACAGGCAATTTGATTACAACCTGGGATTCAAAGACCCCAAGGCTTCTGGGGTACCCTGCCACAACATATAAAGTCGCTCTGACCGGCGACAACCACCTATTCAGCAAATATCAAATACGTACGGGATGCAAATGCATCGGAGTGGGTGTCAACGTGAAAATTGGTCGAGGGAGAAAAGTTATGCAAGTATACTAAAGGATTGCTCTGCTCTCAAACAAGGCTCCTGACCGATGTGAATGCAGATCGCCTCGCGCATGGCTGGATGATTTGAAAGCCGAAGACAAACGGAAAGTGCCGGAAACACGCCGCGTGATGTGGCCGCCTCGAGCACAAATCCTGGAGCCAAAGCCACGGAAACAGGAACTGACCTTACCCTTAATTGGTGGTTTGGTTTGGTGGTTTAGACGTATGGTTTCTCGTGCAACCCCGGGGATAAACTTAGCCTTTCATCTCTTACCGGTCGATGTTCATTGCGCTAGCCTTGAGCGCCGGTCAAAGATGTTATAGTGGTGAATGAATTCTGCATGCCTTGACTTCCTTTATATACACCTCAAGAAACATTGACTTCTCAAATCTGAAGGCTCTTGAAGGTGCCATAGCCATTCTCACCTGCTTACAGGTCTCGGTTTCGACCAAAGCGAAAAAGGCGTGGCCTCAAACCCGCTGGGAAAGCACACTTCTCAAATGCTGTCCGCCCCCACAAACCACTACCATCCCCCCAAAAAAATGAGCACGTAACATCCAGTACCATTCTGTCAGGGTTGTCTACCCCGTTCTCCCTAAGTTGGTGGCTTGTACTGGCTGCAATTGATCCCTATTGAGGGGAACCACTGGAAACATCAGGAAACCAAACCACGTGGCCATGAATTTGATGGCCAGCCATCTCAACAGTGCTTGGACATGAATCCCCACCTAAATTTGCTGTCCACCAAAGGGTCCCTGACTAATCACGATTCATACCCACGTGTATGTTGTTGACCCGTCATCTTTTGGGAACTGAGAGCAACCGAGCCAAACCGCGGCAAACCAAACCGCAAGGGCCGCTGCGCGATCCCGGACTCCAGCCTGAGTCGATCCCCGAATGGCACAACCCGTCCTTTACGTGGGGTGGCCACTAGAAAAACCACTAAAAAAAAACTATCACCACTAAATGGGCAAAAATAACCATAGTTATGTGGGGCCAGGAATATTGATCAACCCCCATATGCCTGAAACATGGAATCGTTTTGGGATCAAACACCCAAAACGGTAGTCGAAACCACTGAAGGCCTTCGAACTGATCCAACAAGCTCTGCCTTGGGAGCCGCGGCTTCGCTGGCGTTTCCTCACGCAGCCTTTCAGGGTGTCCCAGGTTAGTGTCAAGATCTATGAGACCCCCTCGGGAAAACCAGTAAGCTTGGGAGCGGTGGTCAAGCGGTCGAGGTGATCCTCTTGCGAACACACCATGGGTAAAAGACACATCCGAAGGATTGATGTTGTTCAACGCGTATCCTGCCCCCAAAAATAGGTATATACCCTACAGTGGGTTAGTACCGCGAATTCAAAGAACCAGGAAAAACCAGGCATCGCCATTACCCTCGCTACTGCTTGAACTGTCAAATATGAGAGCCTTGACTGCATTGGAAAAAGGTAAGGGGGTGTTTCAAAGTAGAAATGTAATTCTCTTGACAAGAAACTCCCCTGAACAGGCCCAGAACGGTCAAATCTTCAGCTGCGACCGGATCCATCCAGTGACCCTGGCAGAAAACGAGGTAAAGCCCTTTGTAGAAGTTGACCGCTTCCATTCTTAGTGGGGAGCCAAACACGAAGAACCTTGCTAGGGTTGACCATTTTACCGAAGAACCCACCAAGCAAACGGGGCAAAAGGGGGAAATCCACTGTCAGTCCGGGGCTTGCGCTTGAAATGGGGAGCTGCCTGGGCCAACTTGTCGGGCATCCGACATGAGCCATGGCCAAACATGAGCCATGGCCAAACATGAGCCATGGCCAAGCTTGTTCCCCACAAAAGGACGTGGGTTTCTTGTTCTTGGTGTGCTTTTGATGAGTCCCTGGCCGGGGAGTCTCCGGGGTGGATTTGTTTGTGACTTCTCTGATGTGTCTCCCTCCCCGCCATTGGATAGACATGGAAGCTCCCTGACACGTTGAAAGATTACTTGTTTTGCTTCGAGCTCATGGCTTCCGCGGTTTCCATGTTCCGAACGGTTCAGGAACTGTTACCCGAACAACCAGAGAGCTGAGCGGATTCCCAGCTGACATGGGTGTGTGTGTGTGTGTGTGTGTGTGCGTGTCTCAACCTCATGGTTGAATGAAGTAGTTGTTCCTCTTGGTTTCCCTTTGACTACCAACCAAAAGAGGGTCCGAGTCCGAATCCCATTTTGAGAAACCTCCATGGGAGTTTGGTTAGTACCCGTTGATGATATTTGGGAGAGCGGATCATCCAATATCCAACCTCTTGCTGGCGAATGTTGATCGTTCAGTTCACGAAAGGTATGGGGAAGGTATCTCTCTCCTAAGGTGAGACGCCTGCTGCGGGCGGCTTTTTTCAGCCATTCTTGGGTGGATTTAAATGGAAGCCAAGAGAAAACCATCATTTTGAGGCTCTCCGTGTCTTGATACATACCCAGTAAGAATGGGAGCCCAGGACTGGTACACCTGTGGTCGATCAATAAGGTGTCACATTGAGGGGAATCTTCACTTTTGGGGCAAACACGCTCCAAGAATTCACAAGATTAATGGGGTGTCCCACTTCCAAGATCCATAACAGAGATCCTTCACTTGTGGGGGAAATAGCCTCCCCCTTTAGTGCACCTGATCTAATAGAGGGTGTCCCATGTTAGGAGGGATCCGAATTGCTTCTGGTGGAGTTGCATCGTTGAAACCAAGCCCAGCTGGGTGAAAGTGGCACAATTCCCTGAGATGTTGGTTCGGTCATCCCCTGGACTTACCCACAAGGAAACGATGTCATCCACTTTCACCCCATTCCAAGAGTTTGCTTCCTCCGAGTCAACCCAAAAGCCCCACATCCCGACGCCCTCGCCTCCGCTCTCAGGCCTGTAAGGACCCCAGAGCGGCAGCGCGGCCACCTGCTCTAATATGCCCCGATTCATAGGCGTAGGTATGGGATGTGGAGGCATCGGTTGTGCCGTACCACTTTAGTTATCCTTATGTTCCGAGTATACCCTTTAGAAACTCCACAATGTAAATTGGTAGCCCGTTTTGACGCGACATAATTCAAGGGAATTTCTGGTATGTATTCAAGACGCGTGAAAGTGAATACAACTTCTGCCTGCTGGCTGGGATTTAAAGGCAAACCAAAAGCAAACCAATAACTTCAGAAGACTAATATTCCGAGAACCTCCGCTCCAAATTGCCATGGACCACTTCCTGTAGATTGCGCTGCCGGTGTTTGGTTTAATGGTTCCGTGTCAAAATTCGGGACCCCTTTTTAGGGCTCAAAGCAAACCAACAGGAAACCAGTCACATGCCCTAAACGGCTCATAACGAACTTCACCTTTGACCAACGGGCAGGCCGCTGCTTGGGAGCGGACCCCAAAGCCTCAAGAAACGACGCTCGGAACCGGACGGGTACTGCGATACCAGGGGATCTGAATAGACAAACACACCAAACAAACAGACCGAAATAAGGAATCCTAAATAAGGCACCTTCGTTCTACTATAAGAACTTAAGTGTATATTAGAATGCGGCGCTCAAGGATCAGCCTGGAAGACACATTTCATGGATTGCGTTTCCCACAAGCCTGGATGCGGATTTCCTCTGCATCGACAAAACGCAATGAGTGGTAAAACGGTTTTTGGGTTCGGCCACCACTAACGACAAACAATACAGCTGGAAAGCTGAAACCTCTGGTTTGGACAGGCCAAAGTCATGGATCTTTGGGCCTCTCAACCAATGCGGAGCCGTACGCCAGAAACCAGCCCACAATGCATGGACAAATCACCAAGATGCTTGACACGTGTCACTCGTATGGGTTCTACCAAATGGGTTCCTTTCAAATGCCACGCATGATTGTTTTTTGGTGAGGACCCCGTGTACAAACCGCTTCTCCTGCAGACCTCAAACATGGAACCTTCAAACCTCACGTATCTTTAGGGGAATCTCCTTGTTGAGAACCTGCTTTTGTGTGGTCCATCTTAAAAGGTAGCGGAGCAGGCAAGCAGAAGGGTGTCTTCTAAGGGACATGACCATGACCAGAAGGAGCCCTCACCATTGTGAATTTTGGTGTGTCTCAAAATGAGGGGCCTAACAAAATGGTTGGTTTCCTTTGATTGCCGTTTCAAACCAACTAACAAAGATTCCATCATGTTCAAAATCATGAATGTAAGCTTGACATGATTCTGATAATAATGAAAAAGCAAACTGACCCCACAGAAAGCAACCCTAGAATATGGAAGACATTCCAATCACCACGTCCCAGGCAACGCGCCAAAATTGTCAGATAGAATCATCTTCAAGAATCTGAATGTCTTGAGGAAGTTGAATTCGAACCAATTCAGCGTCCCTTAGCAAATGGCTTAAACATGTTGTTCCCACACAAGATTGTGAGTCTGGATTCGCCATGCCAATAAACATGTATCTGTCCAAGTAAATCCTGTTCAATAGTTGTTTGGTCTGATAGTGTTCAACACTTCACGTTAAATGACAAGCTCCAAATTGAGCAGGTCCAAAAAGAGCGAGCATTCCAGGTAGGGCATTTCAAGCTTGTGGCAAGCGCATGAAACTTTGGAAAGAAACCACCTCACAGCATTAAATTTGAAAAGAAAAAAGTGCGAATGATACGAAAACAAACCCGGCACCAAAAAAATGCCTTCCTTAAAACAAGACACACCAAATTTGGGGTTGTCTTAAAATGGAGGATCCCTGAAAGTGGGTGTTTTCCCATCGGTTTCCCTAAATAGCAAACCCCCGAACAGGGCGCCATGAAAACTTCGGATACCACCCGGTCGCGGGTTTGTGCTGCCTCGTCCCCGTGCAGGGCGCGGTTCCGACCTGGCAGGGGGGGTGGGGAAGGTCGGCGGATCCAGGGGCTTGGATGAGCCGGATCGACTTTGTCAAAATAAAAAACAACTCTGAGAGTTACTGGTTTGAATCCCACTTCCTCCAAACCTATCTAGGAAACGGTTTGGACGCGATTCTGAGGTACAAGCAACGTTGCCCCTCTTGGCTTTGGTACTCTTTTGATGCTCTGCAGAAGTGGATCTGCATGTTTGAATGACTCCGGTTTTCGCACCGGAAGA